CTTTATCTACATCCTTTATTAAATTGCTTCATAAATAGTCTTGCCTCTGAAATGTGCAAAAGCTCATACTTCTGAAGGCAGTGAATCGATGGAATGAATATCCATTTCTGATTGCTATCAGGTAGACAGCAGTTTAGTAGAAGCTTAAGCTTTAAAGAGGAAGCTTAAATCTTACTGGAGACAATTATGTCCTGTGCTAACTGAAGGAAATGGTTGTAATACCTGTAACAGAGGCTCACAGTTATGTTCAGGAGGGAGACAGATAGTGTTAGTAAAAGGTAATAATAGAGTAGCCTGGACACAAAAATACATGAGACAACTAGAAATTACCTGCTGGAGTGTGTTATGGTAAAAAAACCCAAAGTGTTGGTCTAGCTCAAACTTAAAACCAGTGGGTCAGACTGCACTGCTGGAAGGAGTAACATTTAAGATGTACACTTTGAAACATAAGAGCCATAATAAAGCCTTGATGGCTGTGTTCTCACCCTGATTTTCATAATTCTTTATGTAACAGAGAGAATTTCCAACAAACACTAGGTCCAGGGCAAAATTCATGTTTTAAAATTCCAGCATGAGGAAGCAAATGAATAGAACTGGTACAACTTACTGTATAAAAAACCAGCAAGGTTTGTGTGAGACAAACTGGTCACATAAGAAGCAGAGAAGTTTGATTCCTAGGATACTTCAAGTGAAAGAAAGAGCAACCTTGCTTTACTGTGATTAGTCCTCGCAGGACAGGTTGGTGCTTCCCGAGCTGTTGAAGGCACAACAATCACCACCTGTGAAATTTATGCCTTTTACAAATCCTTGCTACTGCAAGATTTTTTAAACACTCATTTGCTTGTATCCCTTTCTCCTCCAGTGACTCACAGAGCTTAGACTACAGCTATTTAAACCCTCCCAAGATATTCCTGGATACAAGCATGAAAGGCATGAATGAATCCAAAGCTAGGGGAAAAGGAGCATGTTTTGATTCTTAATGTGCCTGGACATGAATACTTTGGAATTACTGAAACAACAGAAGGGCTATTCAAGCAAAACTAAGCAGCAGAATGGTTGTCAGTGCTTCCTTAAGAAATACACTTGCTTATCTATAATCCAATTTCTATATGAAGATTTGGTTCAGTTTTGGGCAAGATTCTCACAAATTATTTCATTCTTTATATACTTCAGTACAGAAAGAAGTGTATTAGCTTTTAGAACTACACAAAAGTAGGTCTTAAAAAATGTTTTGCAACCACTACTTACTTTGGTGACTAATTCTGCAGAAACACAGTAATGCATCAAGATTCTGTACAAGACAGTTTTCTAAAGAAAAAAAAACCAACAACCCACCAAATCAAAACCAAATGGATGATCTGGAATAGTTGATAAATAACATCCAAAGACACAGACTTGTGGCTTCCTTAGGTAGATTGTGTCCTAGGCAGGGGAAGGTTGTTGGGTCTGTTCCTCAGGAGCACAAGATTGTGCCATGGAGTTATGTCACTGCTGCTGAAGAGATTCTACAAACTTTCTGTGATTCCTGTGGCTAGCACATCCAGTTCTGCTTCTGAGCTGCAAGAATGCCAAATCCTTCACAGATCTATCCAGCCTAGCTCCTGGATAAAGGAAATGTTCATCTAAGTATTGCTAATTTATCATAATCACAAGATGAATTTCAGGCACACGTTAGATTTGCTATTGAAGAAGAAAATGACTCCTGTTCTTTTTGTGAAAGAGGAAGATCCTCAGGAGGCAGCTTCCACCTGCCAGTCTTCTGAATCACAGGCTTGAGCTGGATTTTTTTTAATCCCACAGGCCACTTTTTTTTTTTCTAATGAAATGAAACAGCTTTCCATGCACATTTCAGCATGAAAGCTGTATAGCTCCCTATTCTTTGCAGCACTTATCGAAGAGAAACATCTGCTAGAGCACAAATGCTGCAGAATAATCTTCTTTGGGTTAACATTCTGTATTGCCATTATGAAATTTTTTCCTAACCAGATTGATTTAAAATTATTATAGCTGTCTAATGTACTCTGATTAAATACTATGATTAAATGAAGGAAAAAAATCAGGCTAAGATCATACAGACCTCAAAGCTTCTGGAGCATCCACTCCCTGTTGTATGTGCAGGAGAGAGTTGTTAGAGATGGTAAGAAATCGAAACTTTCCACAGAATCTTGGCATATCAGAAAGATCAGATATGACACTGCAGTAAGTATAGCTTTTTATTTCATAGCAGTAAACTACTTTGCATTGCATTGTGTGCAGGTCAGTACCTAACTGAATTTTCACTTTTGGCAGTATCTGTGAGGGTTTTGCTAAGATGCTCACTCCAGTAGCTGAGGAAGAAAGAAAATAATTTTAATGTATGTCTTACAGTAGGGATGGAGCACAAATAGAGTAGTCATTCTTAGTCTTACAGTAGGGAAGGAGCACAAACACAGTAGTAGTGCTTATGCCATTACAGGCTTAGAGAGAAAAACCACTGAGGGTTTTTTTCTGAACCAGCAGAGCACTCACACCAGTGAGACTGTTGTGTCAGTGGAGACAATTTGAAATTCTCAGTCCCCTATGGTTATTTTCTTTCCACTTTAAAAATGTTGGGTTGCTTGTAAAAAGGAATATACTCAAAAGCTTTAGACCTTCCTGCCTAAGTCTAAGAAGACACAAAATAGAAAGGCTATAGCTATTTTCCTACACCTCAAATGCAGCATTAACCTCCTTTCAGTGCTTGTAGGAGATTTAAAACATTGCACATTACAAACTAGCACACCTAAGGAGCTTCACCACTTCGTCCCCAGGATGTGATTAGTATAGTCCAAAATACTATTTTGTTATGGATTTGAAGACACTGAAGCAAGAGAAGTTATGATTTTAGTCTGTTAATTCTAAGCATCTTATGAACTCTCATCTGAAAACAAGATCTGACAAAAGAGACACACAAGTAACACAAAGTAAAAGCATGTACAGCATTTTGGTAAGATATGTCAGTTGTTCTGTGCTCATTTTTTCCTACTTTTGGCTGAAGCATTTCAGAATAAAATTTAGATGAGTGAATTATTCATAACAGGCTAAGCTTTATTTTTAACTCTTGACATAGTTTGACATTACAGTAACGGATTTAGTATAAATTTAGATCAAACTCCCCTTTCTCTTACTGCAAAGCCAAAGTTCCCATCAAACATTGTGTTTCCAAGACAGCTCACCCTGCTTTGGTGGCATAACTTTAGTTCCTAAGGCTTTTTTTCCACTGTTCTCTTCTATCCTCACTTACTGACACACTTCCCAGCTTAGAAGCTTTCTGACAACTCATGATTTCTTTTTCTTTACATCACTGAATGATTTTTCCCCCCATTATTTGTAGAGTTGCTATAGACATTCCTTCTGTACTTCAGATGTAGCTTCTCAAATGTGTTACTGGTATTGTCCAAAACCAGTGTTCTTAAATAAATCAGGCACTTAACTCTGATGCAATCATTTTTTAAAGGCAGCATAAGTAAGGTCAGACTGATGTTCTGATAAGGACCAATAGTGACACAGAGGAAAACAGAATGAGCACTCAGATACAGAGTTTTGTAGAATCAGCATTACTACACCTGCAAAACTAAGAGTATGTTTCTTTAAGATAGGACCCAAATGAAGCTGCTATCCAACCCATAATGGAATTACATTCCAAGAATCCAAACATGAAGCACAATACAAGTGAATTCTGAGTCTGCTTTCCACATGAGCTATTTCTGGAACTAGGCTGGGAAGAGGAATGGGGAATTTCACCATAACAAAGAGGCTTTGTACATATTATTGGTCTCATCAAGGTTCCTATCGCAGCATTTTATGTGCTATAATACACATTTTTCACAGGGAGAATTTCTTCTGTGCCTTTGCTATAATTTCCCCATAATATTAGTCTCAGACAAGTTTTCCCACTATTATAGCAATATAGACAAAGAAAACTCAATGCACAGCACTAACAAAATAATTATTGTCTTGTTCAAATTACTCTCCGTCAGGGAGGGAACATAAACACAGATGATGTTTAAATTGAAAAGAGGAAAGTAACATCCTCAAGCAGCAGG